GCGGGCGGCGGCGCGCGTGCGCGAGGGGCGGGGCGACGTCGGGGGCGGGGCGACGGGCGGCGGCGAGGGTCAGAAAACCTCGGCAGGCGAAATGTCTTAAAGGGCTCTCCGGTCGCGCGTGCTTTCTGCAGGAAGGCGTTGGCCCCAGGTTTGGCGGGTTCAGGCCGTTGTCTTGCCCACTCAGGGACGGACTGCTGTGACTCTCTCGTGCTCACAGCTGGAGCATGTGGGGCTCCCCGTTGTCTCTGGCATGCTGATACCTGGAGGGGGGGACAGACACCAATGCAGAGTGTCCTTGGGGACATGCTGTGCCCGGCCCCCTGGGGCCCAATGCAAACTCCGAACCGGCAGAAGCAAAGTCCTTTTCTTGGGGTCCAGGAATTGCAGCCTGGGGGACAGGGCCTCGCAAAGGCGGGAAAGGTGGGCGATGCAGGATCTGGAAGGCTCTGGGGCTACCTGGAGGGCGGAAGCGAGATGAGTAAAGAGAAAGCAATGTAACGTGATACTTCAACAACCAGACGCCGCCAGCCTCTGTCTGGCACAGAGCAATTGTCCCTCGCTTAGGTTGCTCCAGATGCCTGAGGTCAAAGGGTGAGTGTGACCAGAGCTCGCGTCCCGCCCCCAATCTTGCAGGGGTCCCGGTTCCAAATGGCCTCTGGCTCCATCTTGGAAAGGTTCACAGTAATCAGCACTGGAGGAGACTCACACGGGAGGAGAGAAAGCTTGAGCGCAGCCGGGACAAATTAAGCACTTAGACTCTGTCTCAGAAGAACTTCAAAAAGCCTGTGGGGGCCATGGAGATAGCTCAGTAGAATAAGCGCTTGCCTGGCAAGCGCAAGGGCCTGAGTTCAATCCCCGGTTCCACAAAAAAAAAAAGCCTGTGGACAGAGCCCTGGAAGGCTCCGGTTCAAACTCGGGGTGAGAGGTGAGGGGGGACAACTTTACTTTCACCATACTAACAGCAGTCACTTGATTCCAGAGACCTCTCTCCTGGGGCCAACCCCACCCTCCTCTTCTGGGAAAAGGACACACTGTGAGGGGGACCCAGGCTCGAGGAGTTCTGGAAACCAAGCCTTCTGCACCCTCCCACTACGCTGCCCCACTTCTGTTCCACATGTCAGATCTTAAGATCTTGGGATTAGATATACAATAGTATACACTAAAACAATAAAAGTATTGAAGGTAATACTCAAAAAAAAATTGGAAAGATTAAAAAAAAAAAAAGATCTTGGGGGTCTCCTTAGCCTGTGTACCCTGAGGCTCCAGCCTAGGCCTGTGGAGAGAACAACACATAATCCTTTATTTCCAATGAAAAGTGGCAACACCAGGACTCTGGGGACACAAATGGAGGAGCTTCTGAAAGGAGACTTGATCCAGAGAGCTTGAGGTGTGCAGTTGTCATAGTTACAGAAGCAACAAGACTGGCAGTAGTCTGGACACACACACACACAGCTGCACTCGGATCTCTGGGCCCAGGAGGCCTGATCCCTTGGGCCAGGTGCCCCAGGGCAGGAGGTAGGGACCTCAGAAGCAGCGGAGAAAGGACAAGCCCTCTCCACCTCCACACCTGGCTGCCCGGGACCACAAACACAGCCCCCCGCCAGAGCCCTTGCACCACCCGTCAGATGCTGTTCCGCCCCCTGGCTTCTCCGTTCCTTCCCACCTCCGACCTGGCCTTTCCAAGGCTGACCAGACGGAAGCATGTGAAGATCCAGCTCAGACCTGCCACTCCTGGTCGGAGACTCAGTTCACTTCCAAGAGCTTCTGGAGTCCAAGTCTGGATTTAGACCCTGCCTTGCCCCCAAATGCAGATGTAGCACCGCCTCCCTCGCTAGCATGCCGCGTCCAGTCCGCACTCCCCCAGGCCCAGCAGGCTCTGGGTCCCGACCCCTGAAGCCTCGTGGCGTTGCTCTCCAGGCGGTCTCTGGCCTCCCAGAGCCTTTTAGGAGAAGTGCTCCGATTTCGGAGTCCACCCCTGCCCCGCCACGGCACAGCTCTAACACCTCCAGCTCTGCAGCCTGGAGCTGCTCAAATGGTGTCGGTCTAGGACTGGCGAGAGGAGGAAGCACAGGAGACCACAGCACAAGGTAAGCGAGTTATGCTGCAGGACACTGGTTGTGCCTCCGCCACCCGGAGCCAACTGGTAAATGAAACTGTTGTCATGGGAAAATGTCACGAATTAACATTTCTGGGAAGTTTCTTGCCACTCCTTTCAGGACTGTCACTCTGTCACTGGCAAGGGTGGGTCCTTACTTCAGTTATAATGGAAACCAAAACTGAAGCATTTGTGAATTTCTAAGAAAGCTTCAAGCCAGGCGCGGCGGCACACTCCTAGAAGCTCTCAAGAGGCTGAGGCAGGGGATCGTTGTGAGTTCAAGACCAGCCTAGGCTACAAAGTGAGCTCAAGGCCAGCGTGAGCTGCAGAGCAAGCCTCTGTCTTAAAAAGAGAAAAGAAAAAAGCTTTAATTAGAAAGTAAGAGTAAACGAAGAGGGTCACACAGCCCTGACCAAAAAAAAAAAAAAAATCAAGCTGGACTTCTTGGAAAGGGAAAATGAGAGAGAGAAAAAGGACTTTGACATGGTGGGGCTGGCCCTTCTTCTTGAAGAAGAGGGACCAAATTCCAGGGAGGCCCCAGTGGCATGGGGTACTGTGATGGCCTGGGGTCCACTTGTTCGCCACCTCAGGCCTGATTTCCTGGCTCTGAAGGAACCCTAACTGGAGCATCTCACTTCCCAACATTTAACTGTCCCTGGCCGGAGAGCTGGGTCCCTTGAGGATCAGCTGGGATCCAGGTGACCCTAGCTTTAGGCCAGTGGAGACTTCTGGGTGTGGCTGAATGTCCCTGTCAGTCTCTTATCCTGGCATCCTGCATCTTTCCCACCCCCAGTACTGGGTTTCTGAACCTAGGTCCTCCGCACTGAGCTACCTCCTCGCACTTCCTCCCCCTCCTTCCCTTTTTTGTCGGAACCGGGGATTGAACTCAGGCCCTCGCACTTGCCAGGGAAGCGCTTATTCCACTGAGCCATCTCCCCTGGCCCCCCCCAACCCTTTTTATTCTAATTTTAAAATAGGATCTCTATGGGGCCGGGGAGATGGCTCAGTGGAATAAGCGCTTCCCTGGCAAGCGCAAGGGCCTGAGTTCAATCCCCAGTTCCGCAAAAAAAAACCAGGATCTCTGCCAGGTGTGCTAGGACCCAGGAGGCTGAGTCAGGAAGATCACAATGAGCGTAAGGCCATTTTGGGCTATATAAGGAGTTCAAGACCAGCCTAGACCCTGTCTAGACAAAAAAAAAAAAAAAAACAGACCTCACTAAAGCACCAAATTGAACCAACTAAGCCTAGACTCGCAAGCCCGGACTCCCTCAGCCTCCAGAGTGCTGGAATTTCAGGCTCCCACCATCCCAGTCGCTCTTATCATCCCCTTTCACAATAAGGAAACCAGAGCTTGGAGAGGTTGAGACACAGCCTGGGGCCCCACAGCCAGTGACACAACCCTGGGGGCAGGACTGGCTGGCTCCAAGCAGAGCCTGCTGTGACACCTCGGGGCACAGGGATACTTATCTCAGGGACACTTATGGTGTGGGTGGCGGCTGGTTGGGCAATAAAGTGGGGCTTCAAAAGACAGCACCTTGAAAAAAAAAATAATAAAATATAAAGTAGAAGGGCTGGGGAGATAGCTTGGTGACCGAAGCACCCGCCCGGCAAGTGCAAGGACCTGGGTTCAATCCCTGATACAAAAAAAAAAGGGGGCTGGGGAGATGGCTCAGTGGAATAAGCGCTTCCCTGGCAAGTGCAAGGGCCTGAGTTCAATCCCTGGTTCTGCAAAAAAAAAAAAAAAAAAACCCACAAAACAACCCCTGATACCACATGCTGTGCCGGGTGGGCCATGCAGGCCACTGAAACCAGGCACGGTGGCACACGCCTGAAATCCCAGTGCTGGCTGAGACAGGAGGATCACTGAGTCTGCTGTGTAGCAGCTAGTAGCAAGACCCTGTATCAATCAATCAATAAATAAGAAAAGAGCACCTCGGTGTGCAGGCAGACAGGGCTGGAATTCAGAGCAGCACCCTTGTCCAGGACTTAACGCTTTCAGAAAAGTCACTTAGCACCTAGCAGGGACTATTTCCTCGGCCACTGGCTGCGGGGCTCAGAGGCTGTGCCAGGAGAGAGGGAGCCCCACACTGGGAAAGCTAGGGTGCCCATCCCTGGGGCGCCCAGGGCTGTGGAGGGCTCATGCGCCCCTGGGGAGGGAGACTGAGGTGCCGCGGGACCTGGGGTGCCCAGAGGTCCAGTGGCTCTTGTTGCCTTTGCAGCCTGGACAGCCTGTGCCCATTTGGCTCCCCGCCAGAAGCTGGGGACACCACCGCGAGACCCTGAAACCCACCAGGCAGGCAGGCAGGGCCACGGGCGACTCCTTCACCAGGCCGGCTGGATTGGAAGACTGGCAGCTGTGTCCCCTGGACGGTGGGGCGCTCTCCAGTCCCCAGTGCCACCTTGTGTAATCACATCACACTGTGTGTCACGGGCCAGGGCCCTCGGCTGACTGTTTCATAGTGTCTCGGGTTGGGGGTCCACAGGAGGGTCCCAGAAGTTCCCCAAAAAGGAAGAAATGGGGCTAGGCGTGGCAGTTCACACTAAAGAGGCTGAGGCAGGAGCCCTGCAGGTAGGGAGGATCGCCTCACCAGGGCAGCTCAACTGCGGGGGACACTGTTTGAAAACTAAAAAATAAGGCTGATGGGGCTGAAGGTTTATCTCTGTGCAAAAACCCTGGCTTCGATGCCCAGTATGGGGGGGCGGTGTAGCTAGGAAACCTCAGCCACACACACATACAGCCTGAGGAGGACTTGACTGGGTCCTTAACTAGAGAACAGCTGGAGCCTGGCACGGTGGCATACTGAGGAGGCTGAGGCAGGAGGATTGCTGTGAGTTCAAGACCAGCCTGGGTTACAAAGTGAGCTCAAGGCCAGCCTGAACTACATGGTGAGACCCTTTCTGGGGGGCGGGGGGGAACGACACAACAAACCACTAGCCGGGCAGCACACACTTATAATCAATCCCAGCTCTCAGGAGGCTGAGGCAGGCAAATCTCTGTGAGTTCAAGGCCTACCTGGATTACATAATGAGGTCGTCTCAAAAAAACAAAAGAGGAACAAGACCAGACCTTTGGATTTAAAGAGGTGGGCCAGAGTCTGGGTGACCATTCTCTCTGTTCTAGTTTTCCAAGAAGCTCCCAGAAGAAAAGAAAAAAAAAAGAAGAAGAATTAGAAGAAGCTCCCAGAGAGGACCTTTTAGAGGTGCTTGTCATCCATTATCACCCATCAAGGGAGGGACAGCTTCATGTCCCATCCGGCCTCCTGGGGGAGCTTCCTCCTGCCAGGCAGCCTCGGGTTTTGCTGAGGCTGTGCTGGAATCCGAGTTGGCTGCAGGCTCAGGGTGAGCAGAGGCTTCTCGCTCCTCGGCAGCTGAATGTTGCTGTCCATTTCTTATCTTGCTGTCCTCCGCCTTGGAAGGGACGAGATCATGTGGGCCTGGAGCTCCTCCATGCTGTTTGCGGGCTTTCGGACAACTGCCTCCACCCGATCAGCCGGCCTCTGTGCGGCGCCCAGGGTGACAGCGGAAGGAGGGGGATGGGGCAAGCCCACAGCCGCTCTTGGTGACCACCCAGCGGCATCTGTACACCCAAGGGAAGACTCGCTGGATTTTTTTCTTTTTTTTTTTTTTTAAGCTTAACCCAGCTACCGAGTACCCACTGCTTCAGGAATCCCGCTTTTTTTTTTTTTTTTTTGTGGTGGAACCGGGGATTGAACTCAGACCCTTGCACTTGCAGGGGAAGTGCTTATTCCACTGAGCCTCTCCCCGGCCCCCAGGAGTCCAGCTTTAATGAGTAACCAGAGAAGGGCCCAGGAGTCGTCCTCTCCCATCGGGCCCAGCGGGCCGCCTATGTCGCGCTGCAGCCCTTCTGCTCCTTCCTGCTCCCTGCCTCAGTTTCCCTTCTTTATGCCTCCTACTGTGATTCCAACCCAGCTAGCCTGGCACCTCAGCCCCGCTCTCAGGGTGCACAGGTCCCTGTCCCTGGCCGCCCTGGTCACATGGAAACGCAGGAAACTGCCCTCCTGCCTGCGGCCAGCCCCTCCCGCCAGCGCCCGGGTCTGCTCCTTTCCACGCTCCTCTGCTCGGAGCGGGACTCGTGCCAAGCCTGGCACCAGCGGCCGGGAGGTCGGCTGCGGCCACCAGCATCCCTCGGGATTCAGGCCAAGCAAGCCCAACGTGCCTGCGAGGCCGCAGCCCGCGCGCGGTTCGTCCTCCCTCCCACCTACCGGAAGGCCCGTGTCCCCGGGACGGCGCTCGGCCTCCAGGCGGCTGGGAGCGCAGCCTTGGCCCCCGGAAGCAGGCCCGGCAGGGAGTGGGGACCAGGGGCCCCAGCCAGGGGGCGGTCCCCGGCAGGAATCCCAGGAATGCGGCCTCGCGTCCAAGGCCGGCCGCACCTGGCGCTGCAGCCAGAGGCTTCCAGCGCTGCGTGGCCGGAATGCCCTGCTCCGCGGCCCGCAGAGCCTGGGAGGAGCCTGCAGGGCCCAGGGCTGGGTGCAGAAGCTTTAGATTTTGAGGGAAGAGCGGTTTACAGGGGCATTTTTAGGACATATAAATGGAGCTGCGAATCTGTCACCTGTACCTCCTGTCACAGAAGCCTTGCCTTTGTCTGCCAGGCTGAAAGCACCGGAGCTCTCCGGGCTGAGCCCCTGAGTAAGCTTCAGGAGCTGAGGATGTCTTGGCTTGTCTTGAGACGGGCTGTCGCTGTGTCGCCTGGCCCTGCACTCCACACCTTCCTGCCTCAGCCTCTAGGGCTGTGCACTGCACTCCCACCTGCCTGATGACTTCGGTCTTGTTCAGTCCCAAACAGAAGGATTTCTGCTCGTTTTGTTTTGTCTTGCCTGAGATGGGATCTATTCTGCTTATCCCAAGCTGGCATGTGTCGCCAGCCGCACCCAACATCTTCTCAACCTTAGGAATGATGCAAACAGGAAGATCAACCTCTGTGACTTGCCCGGGGTCACAAGCTGAGGTGCGGCAGGCCGGCCGGCCGGGGGTTCAGGCTTCCTTTGGGGCTCCATGGCTAGGCGTGGGCCACTGCTAGCTAGCCCCAACACCGCTGGCTCCCCAGTGCCCTGCCTCTGCTGTGCCATCCTGCGCCCTCATGGGCTTTGGGCAGGAATGTGGAGGAGGTGGCTGCCCAGGCCTGCCATCCAGGACTTCTCAGTGTCTGCAGCTGTCTCCTGAGGCAGCAGATCAGCTACTCTGCCACACCCCACCGAGCCTGTCCCGCCTGTGAGGCACAGTCCCCACAGTGGGCTGTGGGAAGGTGCCAGCTGCAGTCGGGACAGGAGGGGCCATGTAGGCTGTGGAGGGTCCACAGTAGTCCTGACTCCATTGTGGATTTCCTCACAGTCAAGGAAGGGGTCTTGGGTGACAGCTGTTGGGGACCAGCAGGGCAGGGATTCCAAAAGAAGGGAGAGGTTTCAGAAATAGAAACCAGGGGGCCGGGGCGATGGTTCAATGGAATAAGCGCTTCCCTGTCAAGCGCAAGGGCCTGAGTTCAATCCCCGGTTCCACCAATAAATAAATAAATAAAATAAAAGTGGTGGGGCTTGGTGGCACACACTGGTAATCCCAGCACTTAGGAGCCTGAGGCAGGAGGATCGTTGTGAATTCGAGACCAGCCTGGGCTACGAAGTGAGCACAATGGGGCCAGAGAGATAGCTCAGAGGTCCAAGTGCCTCCTGGCAAGCACACGGACCTGGGTTCAATCCCCGGCACCACATGCTGAGCCAGTCCCACCCCAGGTGTGTCAAGCCGGCCACCAAGTCCAGGCAATGGTGGCACACTCCTGTAATCCCAGTGCTGGCAAGGCTGAAACAGGAGGGTCACTATGAGTCCAAGCTGCATAGTATGACGCTATATCAAATACATTAAAAAAAAAAA